CAGGTAATTTAGTTGTAACTTGTTTGAGAGTATAAAATATGTTCTCCTTCTAATTTTTCCCTTTCTTAATTTGGTACACGGTTTGATTCATGTTATCTTATAGGGAAAACTTAATACATAAACCCATGAAAAATACCCTCTGCACCTTAAATAACTGAGAAATTGAAAAGCATCTTTTTAAAAACTTCAGTTTTCTGCATGTGGCATGACTTCCCCAGCTGTGCGTTTTTACTCAGCCAAAGGATCATTTGATAGCTTTCAGCACTTGACGAGGACATCGCTTCTAGTTGAGCTTCTGGCATGGCTGAAAAGCTTGCCATTCTTCAATGAAATTTCCACTTCTATTCACAAGGAATTAAAGAATATATGTACATAAATGCCATGTTTGGGTCATCCTAGATGTTTTTGTGCTTGCCCTTTTGAATACAAGGGAAGTAGGCTGTTTGAACCTTAAAATTGAAATGGTTATTGATCTAACCCTTAAAACTTGAAATGGTTATTGATCTAACTATGTTTCTACTTTCTCCTTTTATAAAAATAGGCTTAAACCTTACAAAATGCTCCCTCTTGTGCTGGTCAACTGGGTGACAGATTGGCAGATTTTTTTTTTTTTTGAGATGTGAGCATCAGTTCTAAAAAGCTCAATTTTCAATAGCTTCATGGAATTGGCACAAGTATTTTTAGCCATATGTGTTTTTGAAAGATTGGCTCAGCACAAGTATTCCTTCTCTTCTCTATAAAACCAAGTACAAGTCAATTACACTGCTGAAGAATTTGGTTCGTTGAGCGATGGAGATATGTATGATGTTAAAGAACCGAAAGTATAGGCTGGTGAAACGGTGGTTTTCTTTTGTACCCTTCTGCCCCCCATGGTTTACCTGGAGTGTCCTAAAGTTGACTTGTTATCTTTGGTACTGATTTTGATTGCAACGTCTGACTGCTTCTTATCTCCCCCCAACCGCATTCATAGTGCTGTTTCTTGCAGGTTTTTAATATGGAGATTACTTCTGTTTCCTTTCAAATGCTGTTATCATTTTTACTAAATCTGAGTTTTGTCCTTGACTTTATTTTGATTTGGAGAAAATATAATTTTTTTAATTTGATAATTGTCTGCTTTCTTTGATCCAGAGGAACTTTGTTGAGAGTATGGCCGGATATTCCCTAGTATGCTACTTTCTGCAGGTGTGAAACCTCTTAGTCTGTGCACATACTTGCATCCCCAATATATGATGCATTTCATGCCCAAACGGCATTTGAATCACAACATTTTGCCCTTAATTGCTTGCGTTCTTCGCCTTTTCATTGTTGCATTCTTGTTGCCCAGGTGAAGGACAGGCATAATGGGAACCTCTTGATGGATGAAGAAGGTCACATCATACATATTGATTTTGGCTTCATGCTTTCCAACTCCCCTGGTGGTGTTAACTTTGAAAGTGCCCCTTTTAAATTAACACGTGAACTACTCGAGGTAAAACTTAGATGGTTTGCTGTTTAATATATGTTATTGTCAAGGGTTAATTTGATTACATATTGACTTTCCTCCGTACAAACCTTTACATTGTGATTGTGCTAGGTCATGGATTCTGATGCTGAGGGTGTTCCAAGTGAGTTCTTTGATTATTTCAAGGTATTGATGAAACTCTCTGCCCCATCTTTGATCTTTCCTTAACAATGCCTAGCAGACAGCCTTTACTGTGTTAATGGTGAAATTTGTTCTGTTGCTTTGACCCTTGTGTTCCAGGTTTTGTGCATTCAAGGATTTCTTACTTGTCGCAAGCATGCTGAGCGCATTATTCTTCTAGTGGAGATGTTGCAGGTAACAATATGAATGTTAGCTTCCTGAGTTACCTATTGTCTGTTGTGATAAGTGTCTGTTTCTTGGAAATAGACAGAGGAACTCTGGTGTGGTGTAGTAATGGTTTTCAGCCCCAACCTAGTTCAGGCTACTCTTTTTTCCCCTACGCCAACGCCCATTAGTCAATGGCACGTCCATTTAGTTGATTTAGTTACAGCAACTTGGTTCTTGTAAAAAAAAAAAAAAACCTTGTAAGCTGCCTTCTAACTGAAAAAGTTACTGCAAAGTCCTTACCAACAGTATGTAAAGCTGACGAAAATATATTATTATTTGCTAAGAATTTGTTGATACAATTATAGTCTAGGAAAAATTCTTAACGTCAGACGCATACCTACCCCCATACCTTTTTTTTGGGGCTGAACCTTACTCTTACACCTTTACATATGTAACCTGCGCATTGCCTTGGAAAGAGAATGAGGTTTCCTTTTGCCTTTGCTTTGTACTATCGGTGATGCTTGGCAGCAACTAGCAACCTCGCAGGGCTTATCCGGCAAGATCAAATCCCAGTTTTGACTGATTCCCATCCCAGTTACCGTTGACAGTCTTTATTCTCATAATTGTCTGTGTGTGTCTATATATATATATCTTCTGTATTTATGCATGTGTGGGGCCATGAGAGTGTATCAGGAGATGCTTAATTATATTTCTCCTGAACCATTTTTCTTTTCTGATGCCTGGGATCAGGACTCAGGTTTTCCGTGCTTCAAAGGTGGCTTACGGACAATACAGAACCTTCGAAAGCGCTTTCATCTGAATTTAACAGAAGAGGTTTCATTATTTGCCCTATGACATGTTCTTCAGGCACAGAATATTTTGAATGTGATTTACTGATTGTTATGATTGTATCTGTTATGGCTATATATTTCTTTCCTGGCAGCAATGTGTTTCGTTGGTGCTTTCACTTATTAGCAGCAGCCTGGATGCATGGCGGACGCGGCAATATGACTATTATCAGAGGGTTTTAAATGGAATATTGTGAAGTGACATCCAGAGACCACTTGCTTGTAATATTTGACCAAACAGCCACAGTGAATGCATTCCAAGTAAGATTCATAAGTCACTAGAGCATTATTGGTTCACTGTGGGGTGGCTTTAGAGTTTGCTGGGGATACGAGTTTAATAGGCGGCAGTTCGCAGCCTCTTCTCCAGGTGCAACGAAGTTTTTAACAGTTGAGCATTCGCATAACACTTGAGCGGTCTGCCAGGCGAAATTTACTGGAGCATAGTCTGCAAAATATTTGTTTTACTCGTTTCATGTGATGTGAAACCGTGTTGCTTTCAAGAGTTGTATTATCCTGCTAAATGCTGCGATAGTGCACCCTGTACAGTGATGATTTTAGCGGAAGTACAGACCAGCAGAAAATTGGCTGTAGAGAGTTTTGGTGGCCAGGCCAAAGTGTGATGGATTTATCAACAATCTGGGGGTGGCTTTCAACCGGAGGTCATATCTTACCCGCCTGGTATGTTTGGATGGACCTCATGTAATCTCAGCTGTTTGATGGAGTCTGTTCTTCCAGAGTTTGATTATACTTGCAATGCAAAGTTGTGAGCATAATTTTTTAATGATGTTTGATTGTACCATGTGTAATTGGTAGTCCCTCCCGTCTGAGTACATGGTGAGATGACATTCACCTTGATCGGGATTGAGTTTTCCGTCAAGTCGAAACTGGGTCCCGCATCATACTGCCTGTAAACATGGGGCCCGTTTTGATGTGCATGGATTGATATTCCTGATTGAGAATTTTATGACCCTTTAAATTCTCCCGCGCACAAATTTATACCTTTTTCAATGAGACAGAAAACACAGAAGCATGATATGGATTTTATGGACTAAAATAAAATATTTGATAAATATTACATGTTTGAACACTTTGTAACAATTTTTGATCCTAAACATAAAATTTAGATATCTAATTCTCACACACACACACACACACATGTATATATCATGAAAATTAGAAAAGTTATTTGTAGCAAATATTCATTAATTTTGTTTAAATATTTCATTTGATTATTACTCCTATTGTTTCAATTCTCTTAATACTACCTCCGGTCCTAATTATAAGACCCAGTTGACTTATTTGAAGAGATTAAGGAAGTAAATTAAGTTAGTTATTTGTAATAAATAAGTGTTGTCATTCTTAAAATACCCTTGCTAATTAAGTGTATTGGTTAGAACTATCATTGTTAGAGGGATTATCTTGGAAAAAAATGCATAAATATGAGAGACAAAATGGATTGGGGTCTTATAATTAGGACCAAACAAAAAGTCAAACGGGTCTTATATTAAGGACCGAGGTAGTATATGCAAATACTAAGAATAGTTTAAAATAAATTTAAAAGTCAGTATTAAAATATTACATTTAGTATCAAAGCAAACTTGGTAGGTAATTATTTATATTTTATAAAAAAAGTAAGTAAATTGAATGAACATAGGGTAACCGAATCTGGAATTAATTCAGTGAAAGATTCAGATCAAAAATTAATTCAACGAAATTTCACCACGTCAGCAAAATTCATAATTGCACCCGCGTTTGAACATGGCACTTTCCTATTTCCTGTTGGTTTCGCCCGGGGAAACTTGTGTCTTTGTCCGAATTCTTCGGCTCGGGCCTGTTACACTCGCTTGACTGCTTGCTTCCTTGGTAAGCTTCCTCTCTTGCTCTCAGTCTCTTGTGTCCAAGCCTTCTTTTCTTCTTCCGGTTCCATGTTTACGCCAAAATATCCATGCTCACGCAAAACCACTGCAACGGATTTTCATTTTTCCCTTTAATTTGGTGCAAAGCTTTGACATTCTGTGTAAAAAAATTTCACTGTAGGTTTCATTCTTCTATTATATTTTAGTCTCAAGGGCTTAACTCCAAACACCAACTGGTGCACTTTGAGCTTCATGAACGGGGGGAGGCCCCTGTGTTCGTAGATTATTTTGTTTCGGTGTTGGATTTGGATCGGACATGCCCGCGCGCAGTACAATTGATTTTTGTTTTGTTTTAAATAATCTGACTACTGTTGGGGCACTGGGTTTCGTTTCGTCAAGTACAGATGGTTTTCTATATGATTAACGAGCAAAATGTTAACCCACATATATTGTAGAAAAGTAAGGTGTACGTAGAAGTTGACGTTTATTATTATATTGTGACTTTCGATGACGAAAACGAAAAAATTGATACCGGGATTTCGGTTTCATCCGACTGACGTTGAGCTGGTTCAGTACTTTTTGAAGAGGAAGGTCATCGGAAAAAAGTTTCCCGTTGAAGTGATTGCCGAAGTCGACATATACAAATACGCTCCGTGGGATCTCCCAGGTTCGCCGACAAATTTTGTTCTTGGTGAAGTACTTGGTCCGGTTGTGTTTAATTAATAGATCGCTTAAGATGTGTTTGTTAACGAGGTCTTTCTTTTTGTGTTTCAGATAAATCTTTACTGAGCACTGAGGATTTGGAATGGTATTTCTTTTGCCCTAGAGCAAAGAAATACGCCATTGGAGGTAGAATGAATAGGAGTACGGAAGTAGGATATTGGAAAACCACAGGAAGGGATAAACCTATTTGGCACAATAATCAAACTGTGGGGATGATGAAAACTCTAGTGTTTCACATGGGTCGACCTCCTAAAGGACGTCGAACTGACTGGGTTATGCATGAATTTAGGCTTGATCAGGATCTCGCTCACAAAGGCATCGCACAGGTAGTTAAACCAGTGTCCCACAATCTCTTTTGCTTGATTCCTACGTACTGTTAAATCTTTGAGACTTCGATTGAATTGAATATTTTGTAACTGCGGCAACATATATAATATCTAATTTTCAAATGAGAGAGCTTTTGTGTATTAGTTAGAATAACTAGGTTAGCCTACAAATTTGGAAGAACCTTGTGAGTGTCCATACGTTATTTCTTGCTTGTTATATTATATTTTGCTGATTGTATGCTCATGAATACGTTTTAACTCTCAGTATAACTCTGAACTATTATTTGTGTTTGCAGGACTCCTATGTGCTTTGTAGGGTGTGCAAGAAGGATGGTCCTGGTCCTAGAAATGGAGGACAGTATGGTAAACTGTTTGACGAGGAAAACTGGGATGATGAGGAAGATAAAACTGATGGCGTCTGTTCTATTTCTATTGCTAAACCACTTCCCATTCTGCCTATTGCACATAATCATAATAATAATAATTTCTCACCTTGTGGACGCAACTGGTCGATTCCAAAGTCAACTTTGTCATCAGGAGCGACTAATCCTTCACCAGTGAATACCGATGTGTCATGCTCGTTAGATTATTTCGCAGAAGAAGAATACAGCACATTATTATTGGCTCTAAATGGAAGCAACAATATGGAGGTGAGCAATATGCATGTATAATATATAGTCCTTCAATTCTTCCCGTGCTTGTTCGTGTTCTTTTCTTTTCTTTTTTCGGTGGAATCAAGGTCATTGATTTTCTTTCTGTCTGCGTCATTTGTTTCAGATGTTTCCCTAATCTTCATATATATGTTTGTCTTGCCCTTGCATTTTGCTTTCTGGCTTCTCATTATGCGCTTTATTTTACTATATGCTTTGGTTGTCCTTGTCGATCGTCTATCTGAGTTTGTTTGTGTTGTTTAGCTTTATCTAGCTAGTTTATTTTTTAGTTTCTCCTGTTACGTGTTCCCCTTGTTTGATTTTGCATATTAACGTGTTGGGGTTATCATATTGCATGGATTAATTCACAGACGGACGTTAATTCTGAGGAGAAAAAAGAAAGTGAGGGCATTGCATTTGATGAGATTTTTGGGGACTTGGAAGACCTCATCAACATGGCTGCATTTGATGAAGATGATGATCGACTTCCCTCATGTTTCCCCAAAAGCTACATTTCCTACAAACCCAAATGATTTTCACTGCTGATCTCTCCCTCTGATCATGTCATCGCATCGTTTTGTCAAGAACATGATGAACAAATGTAGTGATTTCACACCGGCCAATTAATATTCTAATTTAGCCTTCATCTTTTTTTTGGTTTTAATTGGGGTACTGTGTACTCATGTTCTATTGCCAAAAAAAAAAAAAGGCTACACATGTGTGTAACGGGATATGAGAAAGGCCAGACAACTTTCTCTTAAGAAAAATATGGATCGAATCGACTTCAATTATTAGATGCTTCATATAAAAAAGACTTGAAGGTTAAAAAATCCCAAATTATTTATAGTTGATGATTTCTTTTCGTCTCAATTGAAGCAATGGTTGTCTTCTTTTTTATTTTAAATACAGGACTTTAATCATTTCATCTTTTAGATTTATAATTAATTGTTTAAAATTATTATTATTAATTATTTTAAAACAACTAATATATATTGTTTACAAATACTCCTCTGGTCCTTAATATAAAACCCATTTAACTAATTTGATTAGATTAAGGAAGTTAGGTAAATTAGTTAAGTATAAAAAATGTGATACGTTTTTTCTAAAATCCCATAATCATCTTTATTGATACTCCTTCTTCCTCTTCTACTTGATTATAATTGAGGAAGTATCTATAGGGATACTTTAGAGAAAATTGATAAATATGATAAATGAATCTTATATTTAGGACCAAAATCAACTCAACAATTGGGTCCTATATTAAAGACTGAAGGAGTAACTGACTTAATTAATTTTTTAAATTTTTATAAATTAGCTACATATATACACTCTTATTCTTAGACTTGGAAGAGGGAAGAAGTGGTAATAAATTAGATAAAATTCCACTCTTCATTTCTTCGAGTCGACGATGGATTGCATAATTTTTTTTCTTCTTCTTGCCATCGACGATGGATTGCATAATTAATTATGATATCTCATAAAATATCCAAAACCGACTTGTGGGAATCCCACTGAATCCAACGTAAGCCCGCCGTAACCTAGTATATTAAATTATAGGACGATATACGACCCAATTGAAAAGCAGCGATACCGCCAACGGTATCATGCGTGGCAAATTCGAATGAAATACCGTGAAAATATCTCTTTATCACATCCGAAAGAAAAGAAAAGATTTGATTGCAAACGATGCATTTATTAATTAATTAATTTAAATATAAATGAATACGGGAAAATGAAAACAAATAGCCAGAAGGGTCTGCGACAAAAGCAATACAGTATTACAGTGATCGAGAAAGGTAAGCGATGACGTGACCGTGTAAAATCACGTGTAACATTTTAATTCGCCACCGCTCCAAGGGAATGAAATCTATCACCGTACACGACACCCCCGCCCCTTTTTCCGGGGTCAACAACGTGCGACCAAAATGCAACTCGTGTTTCTCTCCGGTTCCTTCTGCCGTACCCAACCTTAACACGTATGCCCTCAGCCTGCACAAAACTGTTCGTTCGTCTTCCTTTTCGAGATCCTCAAATGCTACGGCGTCGCCATCACGCGCCACCTGTCCCATTACGTGCACCCCCATAGGGCCCCTCCCCCACGTGTCCCCGTTGCGTGCCCGCCACCCCTCACCGCCATCTTCCTTCTCTCTGCTATATATATGTCGCAACCATCGGCAGCAGCATTTCATCTTCAGACATTCCAATATTCGCGAGAGCTGTCGCCGTTTGTGTCTCGTATTTGCCGGAAAAATGGAAGCGACGATGGTACAGATTGATAGGACGTCGTCGATTGAGAGAGAGCCGAGGACTCTGAGCATGCAGCAAATGCAGTCTGCTAGGGCTTTAGCCATTTGCATCTTGAACACCAAGACCTTCGAAGAAGCTTCCAGGATCTTCACCAAGGTACGACGACATAGTATATTTCTGTAACTAATCAGTTCAATTTTATACACAAAGGAGGGAATTAGTAGTGGATTTTAATCTGCGTTGATTGGGCAGGGGTTGGAGCCAGTAGTTAGCGCGGCGTGTGATATGAAGATGATGAACATGGATGCGGCAGAAGAAGCAGAGATGTTAGAAGACGCAGAAGCATTCAAGGACATAGCATCCGCTCCTTTCTAGTTAGTTCATCAACTCCATCTGATTGTAAATACAACAAATCAAAACGACTGCTTATAGGCTAGAGCTATACTTACCGTGTAAATAGTACAAACTTACAGGATGAAGTTTTGGGCTGAGTAGGGCGGTTTCCAGATTGCTTCTGGCAAAATGCGGGGAACCACCGTTAATCAAGTCGGCTCCGTTTTGTGAGAGCTGGCCGGCTCTGTTAAATTTGAATGACTACTACTTTTGTGACAAAAGTGCAAAATTCTTGACATCACTTCTAAAGGGTAAATTTAATGGCTTTCTATTGTTGAAAGGTGCAAGAAGTGTGTTGCCCCGGGGGGGGGGGAGGGGGATGGTAATTTGGCGGGACCGTCGTAACTGAAACGTTATGGTGGAGGTAAATAATTAGATGGGTTATTATTATCGCGACGATCACAGAGCATGGTGGATGTTCTTGAGGTCTCTGGAAAAATATTTTTGAGGTCTGGAAGACAATTTGTGTCTAGTTAATTTTTTATAGAAGAATTGGGTGGATGATTTTTTTTTAAATATTTTTATTAATTATATGTATTTGAATTATATTCTGGTAAAACATTTTAAGTGAATAAATATTAGAAATAAAGTGAATTAGTCATGTGTGTGTGGGGTTAATGTATCATTTTATATAATCAATTAGCTTATGACGATGATAATTTAATAAAATAAAAATATTACTCCACCGGTATGACTTTGAAGGGTTGATCTTGATTTTTAGGATTTTCTTTATATATTTATTAATTTTTTTAAATTATTTATATTGCAGATGATTAAAATGTTTTTTAAAAAAAAAAATCATATTCATTATAATTAATTAAATAAATTTATTAATATTAATTAGTTAAATTAGTGTTATATTACGGATCAGAGGAGTATTTTATTTTAAATTATTACTTACCACATTTTTAAAAAATTCAAAATCTTTCATTAGGTAACATTGTCAATATTATCACCCAAGAACGCAAACGACAAGGAGTAGTTAGGCCTGCGCCCATCTGACACATTGTTCTCTGGCCATTTCATAATTTGATGCTTCAGTTCTCTCTTAAGCCTATCCGTAATCCTAAACTCTGCTTGCACGATATACTATTTTCATCTTCAATCCATCCAATTCAGTTTCCTATCACCTGTTCTTCTTACTACCTGCAAGAATTCGCTGGATCTGAAGCCCTCTGCTGAATGCCTGGTTGTATAGAAGTCTGGTTTGAAATTCTGAAACAAATGGGAACCAAGCCAATATTGCAACTGGTGCAAAGATAACTGCCCCCATCAGGTAATCGTACCCTCTTGCCAGTGCTCTCACCGACGACCACATTCCAATGCCCCTCACCACAGGCCTGCACGCTTGTGCTATCTGCTCATGCAGCAAACTCATCATCAACTAAATAGTGATTCTTCATCAGTGTTTAAGCTAACTAAAGCTTTTTTATATCGAAAGATATATATATATATGTAGAGAGAGAGAGAGAGAGAGAGATGCCACGGGTACCATGACTAGTGCCCATCCTGTTGGTAAAAAGGCTAGTAGACTTGCAAATATGTCACCAAGTTTGAGATTCACAAGAGTGAACATTAAGACCAGACCAACAACGAACCCAATGAATAGAAACGATTTCAAGAGGCGGAACATCAGTTGGAAATCTGCACTGAACTTCTTTCTACCCATAGACACTATCTGTAGTCGTTTCAGATGCCAGCATTAAACAAAACAATGATTTAAATGTGACTGATAAACAAATTACTTATTATTCCTCCGGTCCTATTTGTAGTGTCATTTACACTGCAAAATAAGTCTTATATTTAGGACCGGAGGAGTAGACTATTTGTAGTGTTTGATAACTTGCATACCGACCTTTAGGATGACCATGACAATTACTATGACTATCCACGAGAGGGCGTAAACCTGGAGGTTAACAAAAGCAAAGGGAAGATTCAACATTACAGTTTGACATGAAGTGAAGGTACGAGATAACATAGAAATAGTGAGAACTTATAATTACCATGATGCTCTTGTGGCCTTCAACTACATGTAGATGATACACAATCCCGTACTGATAGATAAAGAAGCGCAAGGAAAGAACAACCTCCAAAAACCGCCCAAGAAGGCCAGTGTGTTGCAGATGTTCCTGTTCCTCACCCCACCACGATTCCCAGCTCTTGTTGGCAGGAACGCCAATACCCCCATGACTATGGATCCATTTAGACCAATCATCCCAATCGTCCACTATCTTCTGCCACTCAAAACCCGAAGGATTGAAAAGGAAAGGAGCAAACAACCAAGAACACACCATAAACCACATGGAGCCCGCCACAAGGACATATGCTATGGGACCTTTTGTGTATCCGTAAATCATGTAACATATGAGCAATACAGTGAGCTCTAGCCCTTTCACAAAGTGACTCCTAGAATATAACCGGTAGTTCTCTGCAAACTTCTCGTGACGGACCACAAAACCACGTCCAGTGGCTCTGTACTTTGCACCACCGTGCAGGAGAGTTCGCCCAAAATAATGCATCCTTGTTCCCAGTGAAAAAGTGAAGAAAACAGGAGATAGTTGTAACTGCATAATTATAAGATCAGTCAAGGCTGTTCTGAACCCTCTCTCGAGTCCAATTTCCATGATCATAGGAAGAATCATCAAAAGACCTATCTGAACAAGGGATTGTGAAGCCATCGCCGCCTTTAAGGGATCATCTTTACTTTTCTTGGCTATTTTCATTATGGAATCCTCCAATCCACTCAATGACAGGTAAAGTCTTCCGTATAGGAAAGCGTAAACTGTGATGACCACAGCCTGCGAGATAGAAAACGAAAGCGTCAATGCTAAATAATCAAGCACAAATGCAAGTTTAACAGCCATATAGCAACGTCGGATAACGGAAATTTAACTGGACTTTTCCGAAGACTTTCTGCTTAATTCTACATGCATTATTAGCATTACCATTGAGCTGACGTAAAATCCAACAGTGGTGAAATAGCACGACAGCATGCGGAAAAAGTCGAAACGATGCCCCAGCCGGTAGATATCCCTACTAAGTATCTGCTCTCCATTACCACAAGCCACTTTCGCTTCAAAAAGTGAGATTTGGTTGAGCCCCACATCTCTACCCTTTCCAACTTGGATATATTCATGGTGAGTAATATTTCCGCGCCTTAGCGTTGAGTTGAAACCTGCATAGGTAAAAAGGCCACATATGAAGCGGAGGATACAGCAGTTTATAAAGAAGTTTATGAATCTACCAGCAAAAATGTCCTCGCTAAGATTGATGCCACGGGAAGCCTTGCTTATTCCTCCTCGGGTAATGTGGAAAATTCTATCAAAAACGTCTGGATGACCATAGTGGAATCGAACTCTGTCATTGAACAAACCTTACCATGAGACAGAGAACGTCTATATCATACACCATTTACTCTAAAAATTTTCGTTCCTTCTTACAGCACCACAGAAATGGGTAAGCGGAACCCAGACAGTATAATTAAAAGATGCTGTAAGTTGTAACTTGCTATTTTATATCGAGGACACGAACTACAGTCTAAAGTTAAAAGGTTGCCTTTACTCTTTGCCAAAGAAGAAGGCTGCCTTTGTTTGAGTAGGGTCTATCCTTGTCTTTGTCTTGCTTTTAACAGGAACTTCATGATTTATCGTACAAACAACATAAACACTTCTAAGATCACTAGAAAAGGCACTTACTTTAGGGGTCTTGCCAGGACTCTTTGACCAATTGTCACGAAACTTGTTTCTTGATTTGACATAAACCAAGCCAAGGAAGAAACACTGCAACGAGTGACCAGAATTATCAATTTTCTTGCCAAAATAACAGACATCACAAAAAAAATATTGTCAGTTCTCTGGGGAAGAAGTTTCACAAGACCTGCCAGTGAAGACATGTTCACGAACACCTAATATAGTAGGTGGGCGGACCCCATGATCCTCACCAAATTCTTCCAAAAGGTTACGCATTTTCAGAGCTTCTTCCAAGTAATTGTCCTAGGAGGAAGTTGATCATCTTGCTAAGAATTAGTTCCCATTATCAACTTGTTACAGTTGTAACATTTTTAACTTTTACCTGGTTCATGTCTATAGTCTGAAGGGCTTCTCCTCGAGTAAAAATGATGGCATGATTCTGATTTTCAGGCTTCCCTTCTCCTAGCTTTGCTGGACCCGGCAGTTTTATTCGATACACTTCCTTCAAATAAGATACAAAAACAATCATTTACGAAAAGACAATGCGTAGATTAACACTTCTCTTGTTGAGTTAGTTATGCATTTACTTGGTCAAGATTGTCCACAGCTTTGATCAGTACAGAATAATAAACTTTCTGGGATTTTCCGCCTTCTCTTTCTTCAACTTCATCAATATACGCCACACGAAGCGTGGGATGGCTACACATGAAGTGCACTTCAAGATCCAAAAATAAATGCATCTAAAAGGACCCTATTTAAAATATCAGCCAGATAACATACTTAACCATCAAATTCAGAATATCTGTTGCACGACGATCTCCACTCCGCTTTTGATTCCCATAGTTCTGACAGGTAGCAACATATGTGAATTTCATGTCAGCCACAGACTCTAGACTGGCATATAAGGATCTCTGGCTCTTATTATCTTCATCCGAGGGATCAGTAAGAGCTTTATATCCATCGAGTATCTCTAACGATCACAAGACAGTAAAAAGATTATTATACAAATCACTTTGACAAATAACTTCTTTATTCATTTCCATGATGAACGTGACAATTCATTTCATTATACATTGGAAGTTATTTATAACGGAGAAGAGTGCTGACAAGTGACAAGATTTAGCTGTATATATGAGGATTTTACCCCCCCGGGGGGGGGGGGGGGATCTTCTTTTACCTTTTTCATTGGCCATATCAAGAAAAGCCTGGAGCTTCAGAGCCCGCCGGTAATACATCATTCCCCTAACTGCAGTAATTTATAAATACAAGAGATTTGCAAATATAAGAGAATAATTAATAATTAATAATTGGCCTAATTCATCTGATACCTGTCCTGCATAGCGTCTGTCCTCTTAAGGAAGCCCAGAGTCTGAGCTGCAATACATTCTCATCTTTCTCCATTATGTCACTGTATTTTTTACAATTAAGTCTCTCCATGAAGTTATTCCACTCATCTGAAAAATTTTGACATTTTAGCCAGTCTTATCTTTATCATTAAAAACTCAAGCTAAGTTAGTCACTACGAACCAGGGTAGATCTTTTGCAAGTAATA